GTTGTCCAGGTGTAATGCGCACTGTTGACCACCCGCGGTGTCGCGGCAAGCGAATCGTTTTGCCGGTTTTTCTCGGTTATTAAGAAACCATCAATCTTACTCGGCGATCCGATCGGACAATGTCGCGCCGCGGGATACTGCTCGTGTTCAGCGCGATCGTTCGTTGCCCTTCCTTTCGTTACGATCATCCTCGGCTTTTCCACTTATCGACATCTTCGACCGATTACACACTCGGTCCCGCAAGCGTAATTTATTAAAATGATATCGTACAATCGCGCTACCTTATTTGCTTTTTATCGTCGCATTTATGTACGTTCTATTCTAACGCTATGCACGTTCTGTTTTTCTTCTAGATCATTTTTACGGTGAACGAAAAAGTTAAAAAAGAAGGTAAATTGCTGGTATAGCATTTATTTTTAATTTGAATTTTGTATGTGAATATATAACGTGCGTGTATATACCGAGTAAGCCAAATATTCTTTTCAAAAGAAAGTAACAAAGAATTTAGCCACTGAGATATGTGATGGGAGTCTATCATTCTCGACGCGGAGATCCATTCAGAACCTGTCTAAAGTCCTCGCCAACGAAACAGTCCCTGAACCATCCATTGATGAACGTGCAATCTTTGTCGAACACAAGACGGCTGTCGATTCGATGCAATGTTTTATCCATGTTGAATAAGGACGCGAAATTCACGAACGTCTTAAGTATATTTTTTAAATGTTTCATAAATGAATACCTTACGACATATTTATAAAAGGTCGAGGTTGGTAACAACCGTTGTTAACAGCCCAATATGAATATGTTACACGACGAAAACTTATTACCTCTTTAATCATTCTGCGGCAATAATAATTCGCTAATAAAAGTGTGTTCGTACGCGTATCACGTATCCGAAAAAGCGCGTCGATGTGTTTGTACGGAGTACGTTGATAAATTCAGCGAACGAGACGAGTGATGAGAATTCGTCATTCTCGACGAGGAGCCTGCACCTGGGCCCCTGACCGGCAGAGAGATGAGGTCCCCGATCCCTCCGGTGTCAGTTCCTCGACGTACGATTCCTGTCCTACACACAGCGGCTGTCACTTTCAGTCATGTCACGCGTCAAGCGACTTTCGCCTTCGACTTGACGCCGCGCTCCCCTGCTTTCTCGTCGCTTTTTGGCATTGCTGGCCAATACATATATAGAATTTCGACTTTGACACTACATGTGGGGCCTTTGGTATCTCTATTACATTTCTTACATTCACGAAAAAATTCCCGTCCGCCTTTTATATAATTTTAGATTATTATATCAAACTGATAAAAATATTTAAAATAATTATTCCCTCTTTTACAATAAATTATTCAAGAGTAGAAAAATATAAAAAAAATTACACGTGGCTTCAGATTAATCAATTCATTAAAAATTCGACAATATTTCTTTAGTTTTATTATGTATATTTCATGGTCGGTTGAAAATTAAGAAGAGACAGGAAATCAAGGTATTGACACGAGCTGACCAGTACTTCGGCATCCATTGAGACATCGCTGTTCTTAATTGCGAGCCATGAACCGCGATCTCCTTCATCGCGCGCGGACGACCGGAGACGTTCGGGGCGAAGACGATCGTAAATCGTCCCGGGCCAATGGGATGTGGTGAAGGTAGCATCCGGGGCCTTACGATCGGCGGCATTGGGCAAAGCGTCCGGTCTGCACCGGCACGTCCAATCCCTCGCGCTGTACCCTCGAAGCGATTATCTTCGCGGCTTTAACTCGATCGCTCATGCTAATTTCATAACAACTACCCTCGCGCCAATGGGCGAGCATCGGCTCAAGAGACGAGTCAAGGCGATGAGCGGGGCCGTAGATGGAAAAAGAGAGACGAAACCAAAAGGGCCCGGACAGGTCCACCTCCCCGAGCGGAGGCAGCGAAAGGCGCCTGTTTTGCTCCGAAACGCGCATTCGGCCCTTATAGGCCCGGAATCGTAAAATGGAGAGCTTATCCGAGGGCTCTTAACTCAGGAATACGAAAGCTAAGCGCGGTAAGAACTGTCGCGGAAATCTTTTATATACAGGGAGCGAGGACCGCTAGATCGCCGTATATGTTGTCATCGCAATTTCGTGATCGTTTAAAATTAACTCGCGTACCGGGGATTTATCGGCTAGCATATGGCGTCACGCGAGCTTATACCAGGCGAAATCCACAACACATGTAGAAGAAAAGATACTGATATTAAAAATAAAAATAAATGCCGACACAAAATTTATTTCGAGAATATAACGTATATAACGTATAACGATAAAATATTATTATCGGATAGTAATCCGACAAAAAAGATTCTTCCACAAAAATTCAACTCGAACGTTTCTATGTACAAGGCTATTCGCTTTTCATTAAAATGTTTATCTAATAAAGAAAGGTATTAAAATTAATAAAACCTTAACAGTTTTGCTTTCTCGATTAGAATATCTTTACCAAATATAGAATTTAACGGAAATAGTGCAATATATCGCTAGTTTCAGAGATAGATAAAATACAGCATATTAATATGTAATAAATATAAATAACTCTCGATAAGATGGACTCTTTGCGCTGTATAATTAATTTTAAATTTTCGCTATTATAATAATTGCAATCTCTTATCGTGATCAGAAAGATTTTTATTATGCAATTTTATCTCTCTTTCATGTTTTATTTATTGGAAAATCTGCATAAATTAGGAAATCTTTTGTATAAAATTTCTTGTTTAATTTTGTAAGAAATTATGTAACTCTCTCTACAACTATCAAATGGAATAAAACATTGCATCGATTAATCGTTTCAGGATAAGAAACATCACATGGTGATCTGTTTCACTTGCTAACAATAAATGATATCGCGTTCAGTAATATTAAATGATAATCTAATCTAAATGATATCTTCTCGGTGAGCTATTGACGAGTAGCTTCGAGTAGAACTCCGTCATGTAATGTATAATTAGTACAACGTGCACATAAACATAGTCAACTTCCGCATATGTATATATCGAGGCCGGTGAGCGCGGGTCAAAATTATTACCGATGTAAGGTCTCGCGAGAGGACAGGAAGAGGCGATGAGGCGCAATAATATTTCGCGTTCCGCAATTTTTTGCCCGTCCGAGGAGGTACCCTTTCTCTGAGTTCATCGCCGCGGCTCGCCGGTGGCTCTCCCGGCTCAGCCGTGGGTATTAATTTCACGAGAGAAAGAGAGAAACGAAGGGAGAGATATGGGGTGGAGGAGGATGAAGCTGCTGGACGCGAGGGGTGAAGGGGGAGGAGGGGAAAGGGGGCAGGCGCGGCAGAACAAAACGACGTGGAAGACCATCTATGAGATGAGAAAATAATAATAAAGTGGAAATGAGCGAGCCGGTCCATAAATTGCTCCGCTCCTTGTTAATGGTCTGGGGGCCCGGGGCGACCTCAGCTAAACATGGCCCGGTCTGACCCGGCTTGGACTCTCTCTTTCTCTTTTGCTCTCTTTCTCTTTCTCTCTCTCTCTCTCTCTCTCTCTCTCCCGGTCTTTCTTATTCTCTCTGTCTTTCTTTTAGTCTTGGGCCCGGCCAGAGAGAGGATCTGGTCCGACCCGTTCGAGGTGCTCTTGGAAGGCTCATTTCTGTATTTAATGGACGTCCCGAGATGCTCCCTACCCCCCCTCCCTCCCATCCCACTAAATCTCTGAGCTCCCGAGAGCCAGAAAGAGGGTACTAAAAGGGTCCAGAGGACACAAAGGATACACGTCGATGGTAGGTACTACCTGTGATTGGCGACCGGGCGTGGCTCTACCGACAGATATCCGCTCCTCTTTAAACGCGCCAAAGCCGAATGCGCGCTGAATGCAAGTTGCATTTTCAATGCATTCACTTTTGAGATCGTTAGTGTCTTGATAATAATGTACAAATAATAAGCGGGCAAAATAAAATGTTGAAATGTAAGACCATTTGCATAAATATTTTTCGGATATCATGTAAAACGAAAAGATTTTTTCACTATTTTTATATATCACTCTATATGAGCGACCACAACAAATTAATTTGTACTATTCGCTTGTCTCTGCAGTTGAATATTATTAATAATAAGTTTATATATATGTGATTATAAGAACAAGGCAGAAAAATGTTGTTGAAGTATGTGTATAATGAGAAAATATAAATTTCTTTTAAAAAAGAAAAATAATTCATTTACTAGCCTATATTAATCAAATTTGTAATCTGTACCAATTAAATGCTTATTCTCGCATGTTTATATTACAAGATAAATTTTAGTATAGTTATTTGTATTATATAATACATATACATATAACAAAGATGTATTTTATTTTAGAACATTTCTTATATATATAAAATAATTGATAATTA